TTTTCAGACACAGTAAGGCCGCAACTAAAACAAAGAAGAGCAAAGGAAGGCCAAAAACCAGTGGTACTTCAAACTTGACTTCTTCCTTTCAAAAAATGAATAACCTACTCATGAATTAGTCACTGAAGTTTGAAAACTAGTGCAGATTAAGTCTTCAGCGCTAGTACGATGGGTCACTAGGAAACACTCTGCAAGACGTCAGATGAATAGAACCAATGGGCGAGAGATGCTAAGAACATCAATACACAGTTGTGGGGTTGGGAGTAGCGAAGGCAGAATGTAGCGCCTGCCAAGATCTCCATGTGGGCTCCAGCACAATGTCATGGCAGGTGGCAGAGCTCCTTACCCACCAATTCCAACCTGAATACTGCTCATTAAAGACCTGCAAACAAAGCTCTGGGCTTTCAGTGTCAGGTCCTACCAGAGGGACTCACTCCCAGCAGCATGTTCAGAATTCTTGAAGACAGCCACATGCCAATTCTCCCAGGGCTCAGACTCGGGGTAGAGAGAATAAAAGCTCCGTAGCAGGTCGGGGGATTTGATGCTTTATAATCTCATTTGCAAGATTTCCAAAAACTGCCTAGATCTCATTAAAAGTCAGCGAATTTCTCTTACTCCCTTAGGCAGGGAGATGGAGAGTCAGGTTACTGTAGGAAGAAGAGGGAATGACTACGCAGCCCCAGAGCTGGGAATAAAGAAATGGAAGAAAAAGATGAGCTCAAATAAGCCAGAGGAAAGGAAGGCTGGGAAGCAAAATGGAATATAAACAAACTGTTCCTCCATCCATTGAATAAATACTTGAGCCCCTCCCTCCTTAAGTTCCACAGTCCTCAGCGAGGCAGCCTGCATGCAAGCCATCCCTCAAGGATCTTCTCTCCAATACAAGTCTTCAGCGCCACCGGGGTTCCCTACCACACATCTCCTTCCTCGTCCACGATGATTCCCAGTCTAAGAGCTAAGAAGAATTAAGTAAAGATACAGCTTAGATTTAGAATGAGGATCTCGTTCCCCCATGGAAATAATTAGGTGTTGCTATAAACATGAGCTTTCTATGCTGAGAATCAACTGAGATTCTAACCGCTGCTTCCAACATTTCAACGTTCTATGGAAAACATACTTTCAATTCCCAAAAACCTGATTACCAATTGTCTTCCACAACAGAAGAAGTTTACGGATTGGGCATTGCTTCCACAGGGTAAAAGTATGAGGAATGATCAGCAAAATGAGGAATGCAGAGGATAATCAGCATGAAGTACCCGTGTCTTTGAAGCAAATAGCAAGGCGAGGGATTTTAAAATCTATATGGCTTCTGGCATTCTTATCTGTTCAGTCACAGTTGGGTGTGTGGATTTCGACTTCCTGGCCTACACTTGACTCTCGACAGTTTTAGGCCTTGTAACCTTCCTTCTATTGGTTACATCCTCACCAGGAAGATTGCTCTGTTAAACAGTAACATTTAATAGAAAAATGGGAGCCGCTGACATAAGCAACAATCCTCCCCATAAAACCTGTGATGGCCTCAGTAGACAAGCCAGATTGTGTGGCCTCTTTGGCTTCTCCAAACTTGTCTCAAGTTGACTCTACGTAACACAGAGGTCCCCTGGCCAATTTTTCGAGAGGGCCCTGCCTCTGTAAGCCAAATCTTCACTCAGCAACTCTCTTTTGCTTCTTCCTTTTGTTTGAAATCTTGTTTCCTATTGCTGCCTGTTACTGAGGTCACAGCCAGGGCCACACACACACAACCTCCCAACCTTGATGACTGATGTGAGCTCAAAACAGAAATGAAACCTGGTAAGCCAGTGCTGTCCTCCGAGCCTGAAATTAATACTGGATTCATAGTTGTTGCGTGTTTACAAGGTTTCCATTAGAATAGAACGTCAGGAATCTCTCCAGCTCTAAAAAGCCAATTTTTGCCTCAAAACACACCATGAAGCATTACGTGTGTTGTTTAGCTGGAACAACTACACCCATAATTTAATAGACTTGTTTTATGGAGTTAAACAACGTGTTACTGATTTGAATAAAGAAAAATAAAGCAGGCCATTTGTGGCTTATGTCCTCACCTTGGGGTGAGGCTGGGCCCCAGCTGCCAGCGGCTAAGCTCTTGTGCTCTGTCATCCAAAGCTCAGTAAATATAAAGAATCAGTAATTCAGGAGAGCCTGCTGTCTCCACCAGCGAGTCCCAGGTCCCTGTTCTTTCTGATAACAGTGGGGCTACTAGGAGAGAGCTTTGCCAGCCCAGACTTTCAGTGAAGGTAAACACAGCTACTCTGCTACCCAGATATGTGGCTTTGGACCAAGCAATTACCTGAGCCTGATTTCCTCATCAGTAAAACAGTCACCACTGTGATATTTGCCTTCTGACACTTTTATGAGGGCCTAATTAGCCCATGCTTGTAAGCTGGAGAGAGTGGACCGGAGGAAGGGACTCTGGCCTGGCACTGGTTTCCTGCTGAGTGACGGTGCTCTTGCCCTGAGGGACAGAGAACCGGTCATCTGCCTGCTACATTCGCCCAGCCACATTCCTCCCACCGTCCCGCCACTGTAACTGCTCAGGGTGTCTGAATGGCACTTGTCAGACTCAGGAGTCTGGTTTTTCTGCACACCTACTGCGCTTGCGCATTCTCAGATCAAGTTTCCAGCAAGCGTGAACAGAATGCTGACCCCACTGTCTCAGTCAACCATTGTCTTCTAGCTTCTCCAAGCTGACTAGAGAAGTAAAAGCAAGGAGGGATGGCAGGAAGAAAGGTGGGGAAGGGGATCTAAGGAAGCTGTACAGGCTCCAAGGGTGTCGGAACGGACCCGACCATGAGGTAGTCCCATTTTTTCCCTATTAAGACAAACTTCTTTCCAACCCAGCCGCTCCAAGCCTCTACTTAGGTATGGAATGCTACAGCCCATTGCAAGATGTCGTTTGCATGGGCAGAAAATGAGGGAAAATAAAAAACATGGCTCCTTGAGTTTGACAAAGCATTGAATTTGAAAGAAGAAGGCAGTGTCCCACAGATCCACGGTTTTCCTGTTGGGGCCAGCAGGCAGTAAGACAATCCCATCCAACTAAACGGAGACCATGGTAGGTTCACATATAACGCTCCCTAAACCGTTCCAGGGACAAAGCAAGTATGCATCCCTGCTGCCTTGTCCCTGACAGGCTGAGGAAACAGCAGCATTGAGGACCTCTGGGTAATGACTGTGAAGTCCCATGAGTCTGAGGGACCCTGGGTGGTGACTGTGAAGTCCCGTGAGTCTGAGGGACCCTGGGTAATGACTGTGAAGTCCCGTGAGTCTAAGGGACCCTGGGTAATGACTGTGAAGTCCCATGAGTCTGAGGGACCCTGGGTGGTGACTGTGAAGTCCCATGAGTCTGAGGGATCCTGGGTAATGACTGTGAAGTCCCATGAGTCTAAGGGACCCTGGGTGGTGACTGTGAAGTCCCGTGAGTCTGAGGGACCCTGGGTGGTGACTGTGAAGTCCCGTGAGTCTGAGGGACCCTGGGTAATGACTGTGAAGTCCCGTGAGTCTGAGGGACCCTGCATGGTGAACGTGGGAAGCTCAGCTCTGGTAGGAGCAGTCAGTGCCATATGAATCTTCTAGGACTCTTCCTACACTGCCCTGACCACAAATCCAACCGTCGCATTGTCACAACTTCCACAGCAGATGTTCTACTAACCCTGGTCTGTCCCATCAGCCCTCTCAGGCTATAGGAGACATTGGCTTTGGTCCAAAGATAAACAACACCCTGCCTCATTTAAACTCTGAAAACATCTGTCTGATGAAGCTGCTTTGAAAAATTTCCAAAATTTTCCATGTTCTCTTATTAGTTCACCACACCCACCAAGCCCTAACACTGTGCACCATTTTCCTAAGATCTCAGGAAGGATGGATCTGCTACTTGCTATTAGGAAAGTAAACCCGGCATGTCCCTAATTAAAGCAAAACCAGGGACTCCTGGTACCAGTTTTTGTCTGTCCCTTGAGACAGTGTAGCTTAGTCTGGCATCCAACCAGTGATCCTTCTGCCTCAGCTTCCTGAATGTTGGGATTACAGAAACATGGCTTGGTTACAGATTTTAAAGCTGGTCATTTTAGCATTTACAGATCAGCATCCCATTCCTATATAGACCCAAGAGAAACACTTGCTTGCATATGCCAGGAGAAACAGGAAAGTTTTCACAGGTTAAACAGCATAATACTAACAACTAAATACCAATAACAGTTGGATGAATAAATGATAATATAGCAACATAATGAGGTGATATGCAACAGTGAAGATAAAGGAAATACAGATATGATCAACAAGACAGAAAACATTTAGTACTATAATGTTGAGTAAAACATAAAGACGACATAGTAGAGTGCCTTTTATATATAGCCTTACGACATGAATAAAATTAAATAACACATTGTCGTGAACCAATAGAGAAGACAGAAAACAATCAGACAAATAATACATGACTCTAGACATGAGAAAAGAAGACAGAATAAGGAATAGTGCTCAGATTCTGGTGTAAGCCATTGACTATGTTCTAATTTGGGCCTAGGTGATTACACAGGGGGTCGTGGTGTCTGTTAAGTAAAGTGTCATGCACAAAACCAAGCAAGCAGTACATGCCTGCAATACCAGAACTCAGTAGTTACAAGGCATCCTCAGCTATGTAGTAAGTTTGAGGCTCATAGGCTGGGACATATGAGCCCTGTCCCAAGAAAATAAAATGAAATAAAATCAAACCTAAGAAAAGTAAAATTGTCACACACATATAATAATGATAAAATATTAAGTGAATGAATGAGCCTTTGTGTTGGATAGAAACCTAACAGGGGCATATTTGTAGCAGAGAGTGAGAAGGCTCAATAGTTCCCAAGTGGCTCCCTATGGTTGGTCTCCCCAGCACGCTCTGCAGTCACTCTTCACAATAAAATCAAGCGACCATTCAAGATAGCATCTCACACAGAGAAAAAAGAAAAGTCCCGAGAACTCATGACCTCTTACTTAGTGTCGTTCTGTCAATGACAGTTTTGTCAGGCTTCAACACAGCAGAGCGGCAAATCAGTCATTCTTTGTTCTTTGTTTATTTTGCTGGTCTTGGGTAATATTTAAGCATTATTGCACAATAAACCTGCCTTCTTGCTTGTTGCAACAAATCAGCTTAGCTTCTGTCCCCTTTCTGAGCTACTGTGGCCACACCATCTTCCCGGAGGTCTGCTTGCAGCTGGCCTGACTGGCATCACCTAGCGACAGAGGGGCAGGAGGAAGTAAGTCAGAAGTCAGGCAGTGGTCCAGCATTCCTCTTCCGAGCTTATCCAGGTTGGCTTACCAGATCCTCCCCTCTGTCCACTCCTGTCCCTTAGCTTAGTAAATTCATCAACACCCCCATAAGTGAACAGATGGAATTGCTTATGACAATATAGTTCTGTTTCATTAGCATTTTCAAGACACCCAGGCAAAAAGTGAAACTCTCAGCACTAAAACAATAGCTTGATTTAGGAGTGTTTAGTCTGTGTGTTTAAAAAATGTGACCAAGTAAGCTAACTATGTGTGCTGAAAGCAGATTTATTTTTTGGCACTATTTCCCCTCTGTGTTGAATATAATGAGTCTCTGCCCTCTAGAAACTGAATTTCCACTCAGAAACCTCAGATCTTCTCCTTATTGGTCTCATCTGAATGGCATGAATATCATTAGGGGGTTCATGTGCCCAGTGTCAAGATTTGGAACCTTGGAGCAAAGGGGTCATCAAGAATGTTCCAGAAGTCTATGACTGATAAGAAACGGGCACAGATTTGGGGTATCTAGTCCTAAGAATTCCTGCTGTCTTCATGGCACCTGCAAAGTCAGGTATGGCACATGTGCTTGCTTTGAGCAAAATAAGATTCTGAGGCTGTGAATCTTCTGGGTATAAAAACCAAAGTGCCCCGCAGACTGGCTGTAGCACTTCATTTGCACACTCAGATGGCACGGTGACCTTGGTGGAGCCAGGCTGAGTCTGTCATGTTTTAATACACGGAACACGATTCTCTAAAGAACTTTACTGAGAGCCAAACGCAGCAAAGCAAACCGTGTTTTCTCCTCCCCAACCCTGGGGTAGCTGAGGCCGTGCGAACCTTCCTGAGTTCTCTTCTAAGAGTCCTCTCACTGGCAAAGGGGACTCAAAGTTCAAATCCAATTTAGGATCCATATCTTGCAATTATCCAAATGTGCCTGAAACAACCCTGGTTATTTGCCGAGATCTCACTTCCAGAAGATGGTTCCTAACTATATGAGATGATACCAAATGCATCTACTCAACCACAAAATGAAAACTGACAGACTTCCAACAAGAATATGATTCATAAACAAAGGACCTCACCAGAGCAGAAGCAGACTCAGAAGCTGGCTGGCTTCCACACTTCGTCAACTTTACATGAACCAGTTTCCTAACTGCATAAACCCAGTTGTGACACTGTGATAAGACTAGAACCCTGGGCATGAAAGGGGGGGTCACTGGTGCAGCTGTGCTAGGGTTTGAGGTCTTCACAAGGGATTTGGTGTTTCTGGACAAGCCAGGTCATTGCATATGACCACCGAGCTCACTTTACCATTTCCGGAGAGTGTTGAGGAAGCCCTATAGGTCTGTTCTCTCTCAGTATTCCATCCCACATCCATGTTTTCCCATATCCTTACAAGTCCCCCATTTCCCAACAGAATCAGATCACCCACCATACAAGAACTTCACCTTTGCTTAGTCAAACCAATAGCCTGGCTTGAAGGAGAAAAGGGCAGGAAGATGTTTTGGTTGACTCTGCAGAAGGACATGCACTCTTGTATTGGTGGCCATATTTACATTTATTGTTCCATTCCATTATTTCTTGCCATGACAAAAATCATACACACACACACACACACACACACACACACACACACACACACATCTCTCTCTCTCTCTCTCTCTCTCTCTCTCTCTCTCTCTCTCTCTCTCTCTCTCTCTCTCCCCCCCCCTTTGGACATGAGCGATCCCTAAGCTACCCACCTGTAAACCCGCATTGTGATGGTGCATCTCAAAGCAATACAGAGAGTGAAGACTGGCAAGCTCCACTTAGGTTGTCCGCATCATACTACATCCTCTCCATCCTCATACATCTGCCTGTGGAAGATGCTCAGACTCGTTCAGAATGGCCCCCATCTCAGAGCCGTCCTCTACCTCTCCCAAGCTCAAGCAGTTGAAGGGGAAGAAAAAAAAAAAACATGTGAAGGTATCTTCAACCTTCTTGAAGTAGGAGATTGATGGGTGGGGTCCGCCTGTGGGCCACCCACTGTGTGCTTTCCTTTCAGCCGGCAGTTGTGGAATGCTTCTGGGAAAGCACAAATGAATCAAGGCTGGCAGGAAGATGCTTGAGTAACAGGTCAACGAGGCATCCTGAGATCGAGGCTGGTACAATCCCTCTGACAGCAGAGACAGAAAACCACCTCAGCACTGATAACATTTTCTAAGACACCATGTCTGAGAGCTAATATTGTTTAATCCTCGCTGTTTTGTCTAGTGTTGACCACAGGTTGCATGACTCTGCTGAACATAAATCAGTTACACTTTGCACTAAGCACAACACAGCCGGTGGTCTCCATTCCACAAGGGTGCTGACTGCCTAATGTTGTGCAAATAAAAGAAAAGGCTGAGCTCCACTCCCTGGCCCCTACTCTCCGAGCATAGAAAATAATTATCTCCTTCTCTTGCTTGTCTTCTGTAGGCAATTCTGTGTGTTCCCTTAAGTATTGAATGCCACCGAGGCCGTTAAACAGACTTGCTTCTGAAATCTGAACATTTCAATTCCATTAAAATTGAGCTTCGATGGTGGTTAAAATAACCCTGAACTGGGTCTGTTGGTCTTAAGATTAGCACATGAGAGCTCTCTGGATACATTGACCTTCTGGAGTTAGAGGGGCAGGCACGCCGTCTGAGAGAGTTGAAGTGCAGCTTAGGTTTTGCAGGCATTGATATAAGATCACAAAGAGAGTACGCAGTGTCTCCTCCATGCATGTTAAGAATACAATAAATACACAGCAAGACAGATTGTTTTACAAAGACAGTGTCCAAGTCTGGCACAAGACAGACAACAGGAAATGGGATTTGTTTATTTCTAAGGGGTGAGCCCTCATTTCCTTTCCTGAGGATGTCTCAGTGGCATACCAGCTGGGACACAGCATCTGATGTGTGCTACAAGTGCTTGTTGGTGAGATTAAGAAATGGTATGACCCTCAATGCACTTCACTGGAAGCCGGGCCACAGCTGCTAATATTGGATTACATTCTAATTATTTACTTTACATCCTCTTCACACCATCATTCCAAGACCAACAGATCAGGCCTTCCCTCTGAATACTAATGCCGCTGCTCATCAGTATTCTGAAGCTCATTTGTGAGGCTCTGTGGACAGTGAGATCAACCACAGGAAGCAGAAAAAAATAGGAATTCATACTGTTCAATATCACATTAGCATGTTTCTTCCTACTGTGGTCACAAGAAGCCATTTCCCAGTTGTCTCACATGAATAGCATCCTTTACCACTTATCAATATGGATGAAGCCCAAGGCCCCCACCTTATGCAAAATTTAAAAAGTAGTGAATAGGCCTTTCTTTGAAAAATAAAAGCAAGCGATTAAGTCACCTTTGCTCCCTCCTCTTTGTAAAAAGCAGCTAGCTGTTCCTGTGGAGTTACCTTATCACTTAAAATGTACTGCCAACCTACTCACATCAGGACCACACAAGGGACCGCCTTAGGAAACAAGAAGCTAAGCTCAAAAACACATGGAGAATGAATGGTGCATGAGAGGGAAAATCGATGCCTCCTCACTGTGAGGGGGCTGCAGCTCACATCATGTGGGTGGGCCTCTTGACTGGAAAACGGGTCCTGAGATGGTACAAAAGCCAGCCGGGTGGCCAGTGGCCCCTAAGACAATCTCAGGAAACAAAGGTGGGCTAAGGGCACCGTGAGAAATATTCACTTCAGTATTTTCAATTTTACCTTGCAGTCAGAGGCTCACCCCATTTTTTGGAGGGGCCAAGATGATAAACTACTTTTAGGAATCCTTTTTATTATTTTCATGTAGAAAAAAATGGAGCTGTGTATATTGAACTCAGTGTAGCTGCACGTTCTTTACCCTCTGTCTTTTTCAGAGGTGGCTTAAGCCGCAGATTTGAAACCTAGAATGAGTCTGATGAAAGTGGAAACTTACAACTATCACTGGAGTTGTCCCCGATAGCTTCCCTCAACTTAGCCCACACTCCCAGGACTCCCAACCTAGCCTGTATGATGAGTGGCATGTGTCTTCCTGTAAGTCAGAAGGCCCAGTCCAGACTCCCAGGATGTGGGATCTCTGTGAGTTCACCGTTTCAACAATCCACCGTGCTCTGTCAAGCGCTTAGTGACAATCAGCTTCTGGTGACAGACAAATCATTGACTGAACCGTGATTACATGACTCTCTCCTAAGTGATTTTTAAACATTATTCCTCATGATTATCAAAAAATCATCTAAAATAGGTAGAACTTCTTATAAAGAAAATTATCTCAGAAAAATTGAGGAGTCTTGCCCAGTGCTATGGCATGAATAAGTGACAGGCAGGCTTGAGCCAGGCTGTGGGACTCCAAAGTCCTTTGTATTCTTTTCAGGCCACCAAAAAAATCTTACAACAGTAAACTTTGTTGAGTTCACTGGTATTAACGCAGCCAATAAAAATGAGGCAAGACAAAACTTAAAATGTAAGTGAAATGCAGATCGATCCAGGACAAGGGAAAGTCAAACTCAGGATTGCTAACCTTTACAACACTATCATTAGGTGTAAGTACCCTGGCCTAGGCACTGAGGGTTAGCAAAGGCACTTGCCACAGAGCCTGACTAACAACCAGAGTTTGATTCCCCAGGACCCTCATGGTGGAAGGAAAGAATGTACTCCTATAGGTTGTACTCTGGCCTCAATGACACACATGTACTCACACACATACTCACAGGCATACACAATAAGCTTTAAAAATGTAAGTTTAAAAAAGCAACTGACATGCAAGTTAGTGTCAAACACAGGCACATCATCTCCAGTTTGAAGCCTTAAGAACCAAGAAACCTGAGTTTTCTTCCTGGAATAGTGTTAGAAAGCTGTGTTCTCTGCCAGAGAAGCTAGGAAACAAGGAACCTAAGAGAGACATACATGGTCCCTCAGAGAAGTGGAAAGGGACAAGATCTCCTGAGCTAATTGGGAGCATG